TTTATTTGGCCCGTCTATCACCAACATAGGCCAATCAGCTAACCAGTATTTTCGCCCCTTCCCAAAATTACTTCAACGGAAGGTTTCTAGATGGATATGCGGAGCAAATCCATCTGGCGGAGTCAGGTTAGGCGTTACTATATTTGGGCAGAAATGGCCGCTCTAAGACTCAGTGACTGCAACGAAAAAAAGTATTCTTATTCCTGAGTTACTTTAAATTAATTAAATCACTGCAAACCTATTAGTTTTAGGTATAAATAATGATCCTTTGATTATTCCTTGCTGACCGGACTTTTCCTTTAAGAGATGACTCACCGTTCAGCAGACCGAAGAGGCAACTAGTTCGATCTTTGGGGCTTTAGGATTGCTGGACCAACATTCAGCTGGCTCCCTCTACTAGCAGCTCTTACCAAACACTCCAGCAGTCTGGCAGGCCTGGAGATGATGATGAGGATCTTCTTCACCAACTTAGTGATGATGGTCACCTCCTCGCTCTCTGAACGCTCATAAGCCTGAAGGGACCAGACAGCGATTATTATCGTTATTATTAGTGGGACAGAACAAACAATACCAGGTTAGAGCTGTCAGTGTGGTAAAAAATCTGGTTGGTATTTGAAATTGTAAAGGTTCACTTTTTTTGCAACATAAAACTGACTAAATCCTTTTTAAGTTTTAGTCGACTAAAACCATCACATATCGTTACGACTAAAATTCGACTAATAGTTTTCGTCCTGAGGACTAAGACTACAAATAAATCTAAGATGGCTGTCAAAAAACACTGCAAACAACCCATATTAAGGGGTAAAAACTCCTTCTGTTGACAGATTTTACTTATCAAAGGAAATCTTGACTTTTTTCGGATGCGTGAGGAAGACTCACCTCATGGAGCAGTTTCTCCAGCTTTTCCTGCAGCTCCACGAAGTACCTGGAGGTGACCAGGCCGTCCTGGGACTTGTCCAGGCAGTCCCTGGCCAGCTCCACCAGCTGGTGCTGAATGAATCCCAGCACGCCGTCGGCCAGGGGGAGAGACGTATCTGGAGAATACTCTGAAATGATGTGGACCAGCTGACCCTCCATCTGAGCAGTTGCCTGGGAAACCACAACAATCAGTTTGATTAACTTAAAAGATATTGACTTATATAAAAAAATATATATCCAGATGGTTTAATGCATTCATTCCAACAGAAAGCCACCAGTTTGAGGTAAAACAGTGATTTTCACCTTGGGGAAGCGCTCTTTGTAGACGTGATTCATCATGACAACCTCATTGTCGAACGTTCCGCAGGTCCGCCCAGGGCTAGACAAGAACCAGTCGAAGGGCAGCAATGGAAACAGACAAAGAGCAAACGTTTAATGGATGAATCTATGAAAATTCAAAATCTGCAGAGCATAACAAAAAAAAGAAAAACCTGATCAGACGTACAGACAAAGAAATTTAACATTTGCCTAAAAAAAAAAATCAGGCCACTGAAGTACGACTGCCTGCTGTAGGAGTCAGTTTAAGTTTTATTCACTGGCTGTTTATCAGATTATCCATTTGAGTCATTAAACTCCGATTTGAAAAGAAGCTGTTTGAATTTCTCTGATCCACAGGATCAAAATTGTACCTAAACGCTCAAACATGGTAGTAAAGTCATCATTAAACCATGGTGGCTGCAGAAACCAAGAAGCTTCAGCTGTAATTAGGAATAAATATTTGAAGCTTTCTCTGCAGAAACATTTGATCAGATGAATTCATTTTCATATTTTGTTTTGAGGCGGCTGTGATCACCATAGCTGGTGCAACATTAACATGCCGGCTGTTTTCAAAGTGTTGATTGAACAAATAAGAGTGAGGAGGATCTGGAAGCTAAGATCTGAAGTCAACATTGGACTAAACATTTATGCTTGGAGATTTAGCTCCATTACACACAGCTAAAACAACAAAGTTCGTGGTATGTACTTCTTCCTCTCCGTCTCTGACTCCCCCCCGCTCAATACACACATACCAGAGTTAGCTGCAGGCAGAAGGTCAATACCCTGATCTGATCCTTATGCCTCATAGCTAAATCCATTTATGTCATTATGTTGCCATAATGACAGTTTCATGATACGAATCGAATCACGACTTCTTTGCCAATACCCACCCCTAGTCTGCGCTATGTTATTCCACGTCTCAAAACAAGAGGGACAATCACGAACTAGCTGTGGGTCGAGATACGGCCGAGGCGGTGGGGACAAGTTTGTCCGACATTAGAGGGACATGAGGGTAAAAAAGAGCGGGGATCCGAGTGGAGAAAGGCTCCCAGCGTTCTCGCGCATCTCGCTCTTCTAGCTGATCCAAATTCACGAGTCGTTCTCCACAATGGCGTTCATACAAACAAAACAAGTTGGTAAGGCACCAAACAGGAGATACAGATAGTGTAGAGCGGTAGATTGACCAATCAGAGGCCTCCTCTCTGCGGTCACCTACAATTTTGGAGAGGAGCAGCAGGGTATCTGAGGAGGGGGCGGGGACGTTTCTGCGTTCCCTGCAACACCTACGCAGACGACCTGGTTTGGAAGTATAAATCAGCCTTTAGGGAGATGCGTCATCAAATCAAATTATTTTATTTAAATATTCATTTTTTTCTGTTAAACATATCAGATGTACTGAAGGAACATGCTTATTAAAGCATGCCACACTCCACATGAGTGTGGCATTTTTCTGGCTATTTCTGTGCAACACCAGTTGCTAAAAGGGCGTGGCTTCATCCAGGGCTGACACTGAACGGTAACCTCAGGGAATGGAGCCATGTTTAGAGGGCATTTTAGAGTAGAGAACTTTCATTGTTTGTACCAAGAGTTGTGGATCTCTTGTGTGGATCTAACCGCAGCAACGGGCGTGAATTTTCAGCATGTGCTGCGTGCGTGTGGCAAAGGGAAGGATGTGTCACAGGGGGAAAAAAATAAGCCATCCAGATGCAGCCAGCACTCTGGGCTTCTCTTCATAAAACGTCTCTGGCAAACTCATAGCTTCCAACTGCTCCTTCTGCTCAGAGGGATTGTCCAATCATTTTATAGAATCCTCAAATAGAACACAAGCTTTTTTCCAGAGACGCACAAAACCATAATTTCACCAAGTTTCGCTTTAAAAAAGGGCCACGTTTCAGTTATCAGGAAGACAAAGAGAGAGAGGAAGAACAATAGAGGAAGGAACGTTGGCAGAAAGCAACAATGATTTACAGTTAATTCATTATGTGCAGTGCTGAGTCTCTGGAGTCTAGATGTTGATTATCTATAGCTTTTCTTGCAGGGTTCCTACAGCATAAGGCAAGTTAAATTCAAGACTTTTTAAGACTCTTTAATGCCACTTGAAATAAAAATTTAAGACCAGAAACACAAGAAAAACCTGCTTGCGACAACTTAACCCAAAGGTTTATTTTAGCATAAACCAC